TGTGTGTGTGTGTTTGTCTGTGTCCACAATGCCCGGGTGCTTAAACACTCTATCTCACCTCCTCTGAACTCTGAATAACCTGCCCAGGCCTGCCCAATTCCCTCCCACCTCAGTGGTTTCGCTTATGTGTACACTATATTTCCTGAAGCAGGGTCTGCTTCAGCAACTTCCATTGCTCTGTATTAGGGTCATCATATTTCCACTATATTAAGCACCACTGTGCTTTGGCCAGTTGCTTGAGCTTCAGATTTCATGTTTGGGGGAAGCTGCTGCTGTGTCTGGCTCTACTGATCGGTGTAACCAAAGTTTATATGAGCATTGTAATACTCCCAGGGATAGTGTGGGTGCCCTCTTAGTTATTGGTTGGAAGTTGTTTACACTCTAGAATAAATTGTAAAACTATCCAAGTGCTACACCCAGAATATGTCATCTGTCAGTGATTTTTCTATACTGTTTATTTGAGGGTAGGCGTCCCAGTAGTAGTGTTTTATTGCAATATTGTATTTACTTTATTTTTGCACCAACGTGATAAAGTACCTTCATTTTTGGGGTTATTTAAGAAATTGAATTGCCATCTATTCATTTAATCTATAAATGTTTTATTTTGTTCAATTTAATTTACAGAAAGGTTACTAAATCATGTTTTTATGGCTTATGCTTGAAAATTGACTTTAACAATTGATTATCAACATCAAAAAAAGTGACCTGATCTACATAATTCATACCAGTATTACAATGTAAAATTACTAATGCAGAATTATAAATGTTATCCGTATTGCCCACTCCTACTTAACATGTTTTATGTTTAATCAGAGGGTGTTAAAAGTTTGTTTACTATAAGTGATATAATAAACAGTCAGTTATAATCATATGGGGCAAAAAGTTAAAAAGGATCTTAATAGTTTATGTTCTGTTGAAAACAGATCTGGAGGGAAATAGGCTTGTTAAATGATTACAAGCAAAGCCAGTCCTGTGAAACACTTTGAGTCATTTGTCTAAACCTCAGAGCCTGGGCCCTGCTAACATTTAACTAACCCTGCTGATGACAGCACAGTTAGCTTGACCACTAATGCAATCTGCAATACAGAAGCTTTGACTCTTACCTGCATTATTCTGCCCTTGTGCTGCAATCAGCACACACAGATCAGATAACATGGCCCCTTTGGCAGATGTCACACAGGTGTATGTTTACAGGACATCTGGGCCTCTGCTGAAACTCGACTGCTTTTTCATTTACGTGTGTGTGTGTGTGTTTGTGTGTTCCAGTGTTTCCTACAGACTTTCACTGAAGCAATTAGAGGTAGGGAAAAGACATTTGACTTAGGTTTCCATTGTCGCCATTCCATTGTAGAATAGAATTTAATTTATGGTGTTATTACATTGAAGAATTCAATAACAACACGTTTTTCAGAAAAAGTGCCCCACTTATAATCCACAGAACACACTGTCAGTAGTTTTTAAGTGACTATTTCTTTGTTAGAAAGTAGTTCCTCACCATTAATTCTGTGTATTATCCAGAGTAATGGGGTTTCCATAAAGATAAGTAAATTGATAATGCCGAGAGCTCCACAGATGAAATTCCATTCACCTTCATTGTTTTGGGGAGAAGGCAGAAATCTTAAAACCCAATCAAATAAAACCAAAACTATTGCCTAGATGCCACTGGAGGTGGTGAAATGCATGTTCTGCAAATTGGGTGACTCAACACTTTAAGTAGGACCTGTCTGTACACAGGAAAGAGGGTATAATCGTAGGAGTGAGATGACAGTTGAAACCAGTAGTCCCGTCTTTGTATTGTCAATGGTATCTAAGGAAGTCTGCATTTGTTGGTTTGAGGTTGCTAACAGGGCTGCACAATGCATTAAAAATATTATCAAAATTAAAATGTAATATTCCAGTCGCAGAACTTTTATTAAAGTTACTAAGTTAAATGTGTGACAAACCAGTATTATAATGAAGTACTTTAGTGCTACACAAACGCCCTGGCCTACAAATCTTGTTCTCTGGATTTAAGAAAATATGTTTGTTT